CGAATGTCATATCGAAATTAGAATGAATATGGAGGTTGTAACGAATGTCATATCAAAATTTATCGGTGAATTATCAATAAAAGCAATATTTACTGAGCCTGAGGTACGGATGGGCGTTTTCAAATACCTTATGATTTCAGAATCGAATCGAATAATTTTTTCGAATCGAATATCGAATACTTGGGAGATATATATTTGTATGTTACTTTTTCATTGTATTGGGTCCTCCAGACACATGAATCACTGGAAACTTAACACACATCACTCAGACAGATTGCTGAGCGTTCACACACAATAATAAACACGTTTGCAACGAAATAATTACAGAAAAGAGGAATATGTCAGTTTAAAAAATATGGTTTCAATAAAAAAACTTGAAAAATTTACCTCGACAATTGGCAGAAAGGAAAAAAAAGCAAGATGGCAGCGATTCGAAATTTCGCTGTGAATCGATTCGAATAATTTACTATTCAATTCAAAATGCCCTGCACTACTCGTAGACAATATGATTAAACAAAAGTAAACGCTTTCCGTCTTCAAGCACTGAAATTTGTACTCGATTAATAGCAGATAAACCAAAAAGGTTTTCCTTTGTATTATTCATCGTTGAAACTACGATTTTATGAAAGTTTGACAAAATGAACGACCGGTAGAGCTTTTCCATGACTGATTGTAAAAAATGGCCGCATGACGTGGAACCTATGATTTCCATAGGCTTATCAACATGTGCATATCGTATAGAGATGAAGGATATTCGTGGGCAAGGAGAGGGGAGCGCCACAATGAGCCGATACCGGTACGAATAAATAAGATACCGGTAGAATTGAATTGTTACGTATAACAAAAAGGTAAAAACATAAAGTGGCGAATTCTTTCACTTATGTTCGGTGCGCCATATTAAATAATCACGCGGTTTGGGTATCACTGATATATACAATAAATTTGAATTATATGCAATTGGTTGGTCGGCTTGGTTTGGGATTCCGAAACAGGAATATGAGACTAAATAAGATAATTCATTTTGAACTTCACAAAGGTAAAAAAAACACACAGGGCCTTCAGTAATGTTGTCAAAACTTCAAATGAGATTTAAACATGAAACGTAAAAGCACTGACTGCATAGGCAATCTCACTTTGTGATATAGAATGTAAGTGAAAAACACGATGAAATATCTCTTTAAGTGATTTGGGAGTCTCCGTTCACCCTAAATCAAATGTATTCCTGTAACGTTCATCTAACCTACTTCAGAAATACGTACACACTCTTTATGTGAAATTCGTATTTTCGTGTGTGAAAAAATACACATCGTTAGTTTGCATCGCGGCTCAATCCCTTAGAATAGTCCTCTAGCCACAGTTTTTTGCATGTTACATGCTTCACGAGCGCTGAGGCATAAAGGAGTTTGGTCTCACAGAAATGTATTTGCGGTGTTGTGTAGCAAAACTCTTGATGTACTCGGAATGGCCATGTTCATTTTTGCTACATCATTCTTGCATTATTATACGCACATGGATTCACCAGCACAACCGGTCACCTAGAGCAGGGGTCCTCAAATATAGGGTCGCGACCCTCGCGTAGTGTTGTGTTTTGGTAAATATAAGTTTAAATCAAATAACTCAATGATCATTTTGTTCCGTAGGAGTATAATTTTAATTGCAGTAATCAAAAATTAGTTCAGAAATGTGATAAAATAAACTAAATTTTTCTACCGGTATGTTTAAATGAAAGGTTGTTGAATGTTTTTAATTAAAATGATAGTTTGAAACATATAAACCGGTTTATAGGTGCTAACTAGCGAAACCACTCTTCAAAAAGTAGCAATTATTTTCCACAGGTATATAAAAAAAAATTTCGGCGATCAAAAGTCGGAAAAACATTGCTAGTGTCAATAATAGTCTTAAAATCGCTAACTAATTACATGCCTACCAAATGCTTTAAGTCGCGAGAAATTTAAAAAATAAAATAAAATTGGGGTCGAGCCAAAAAGTAGTTGCGGGCCCCTGCTTTAGAGAAGCGCCAGTCCAGTAGAGTCTATATTAATATATGTATATTGCTTGGATATTATTAAACTTGCTCTACTTTAGAGATCATTTTGTTTTGTCGGTATTAGGTTTGCTTTTATATACATTTGTAGTTTACACAATTCAGACAATTAAACCGTTACACTGGGATTCCTCGAATTTCAGGAATGTTTTTTTGAGATTCCACTGCGCTAAAAAGGTTGAAACCCTTGGCATAGAACAAGAATAAGTAGTTTGCTCAGTACAATTCACAAGAAAATAACCCAACTTCATACAAACTTAATCTGTTCTGGCTGCAAAAATAAACTGGAGTTCAGTTGAACTCTGAAAGATAACCTGTGGAAAAGAATACTGGACTAAGCACTGAACATTAGCTAACAGCCAGGGCTCGGCATTTTCAAATACCTGATGATTTCAGAATCGAATCGAATATGTTTTCGAATCACTGAACTTAACATTAGCTCACAACTAGAGCGGGGAATCAAATTGATTAATTTTTTTAATCGAATCTGGAATACGTAACAACGTAATTGCTCTGCCCATACTCACAACTGAAGACAGCGAACTCTTGTTATGAAACAATTTTTTTGCGATTTCTACTTTCTAATCCAGATTTTCATCTAAAAATGCCAAATCATTCGACATTTGTAGAAACTTGTTTTTACCTTAAAAACCAAAAATAGTAGAAATCGGACACGATTCGATACTGCGATAAAACTCGTAAAATAAGAATTAATTTTCAAGTAAAACAATCATAATAACGCAAAAATCAACGTTAATTTCACAAAACTGTTAGATTTTTTTTGTAATGAATGGTGACTCATCCTTCCAAGGAACCATAACTCAGCAAATTGACTACCCCGGGGCGATATCGGTTTTTATAATCGCATTGTTCGCGCACAATGAATGTGGTGAACTTTTGATCTGCTGATTTCTAGAAATGGGATTAGTTTGTTTATTTTCACAGAGTTGTCACTTGCGGCTGTCATTGGCTGACGGAAAATAATATTTGAGCTGAGATATTTATTGAACATCCGCGTCTAATGAAGCAATTGATTTCAGATTTTAAACACTTGTCGTGTCCATAAAGTTCCTTTACAATTTCAGTTTTTTTATGAAATCAGTTCTCAATATCCATGTTTGTTGTTTTTTAATCAGTAATTGTTTACGTATTTATACTGCATTTAATACATCTGTGAGGGCCAACACAATATATGGTATGGATAAATTCCCTTTGCAATACTTTATGGACACTATTTATCGTTAGCCAAGTTACAATTCGGTGGAAATTGATATCTTTTATTTTTTCCAGTCCTACACGGTCCGATATTTCATTATACATTAGGCCGGTCTTTTTAATTCACGGCACACTTTGATACGCCATTTGGAATGGGATTTACATATTTATCCCCGGGGAGAGGAAAGCCGACAATACGGCTTAACCAGATGGTGAACCACGGCCCATCGTCCGCTTACCAGTTCATGTCGGAGTGGGATCAGTTAGCCTGTTATTTGTTTTCGGAAGCATGGACTTGATGGCGGAGGGAAACCGTAAACGACCAGCGCTTGCGTGAACCACACTCTATGGCGGCGAGGAGGCCAGCAATCCTCTCTCAGTCTCTCGCATGTGATTCGAACCTGCGAACCTACGCGGGGTAATCAGAGATGTTGTGGTGAGCGTCTTTCTAACGCTTATCAACAGGGGCGTAGTCAGAACTTTTCAATGGGGGGAGAGGGGGAATTTTTATTTGCCAAGTTAGATCGAAACAACTAGCGGGCCCGCCGAACGCCAAAAATCGTGTGTTTTCATGATTCTTGAGAATCTAAAAAGCGTTTAAAGCTATAAAAACTGATATGTATGATACAGAAAGATGCTTTTATTTTTTGAATTTTCCAAAAAAAAAAAGGGGGGGGGGGTCCGCCCCCAACCATCCCCCCTTCTGACTACGCCCCTGCTTGGTAAGATGCGCCTACCGCCGAGCCTTACCCTACTCATTCTACTGGATTTGTTTATTTTATTGAAATCGTCATCGTTGGCAGAAAACACGTGGCCAAGGCTGAAAGAGATGACACGAAGTTCAAGCAACTAACTCAACCACAGCAACGTCATCAAAATAATAAAAGAATTATACCGAATGTCATATACAGTGGTCTCCAGAAGTTTTTAGATGAAGTCTCGTCCCCGCAGGACCGATTTGAGGATTAAAATAAAAAGTATTAGACTCTAGCGCATGTAACCATCTTTATATATGGAAATGTAAAAACGATTGGTCAGTTAGTTGCGACGGAAAACGTTTTTTTCACAGCAACAATTTAGCATCGTAGGTCAACCCCGTGTATGATAATGACCAAGGGTTGAAACACACGAACTGAATTGCCTGCTGTTATACAGGCTTTGATTTAACCAGAGTTTAATTGCGAGAACCGAAGTCAATGCGAGATAATTGTTGGACTCCTCGCTATCGCGGGTGGTTCACGTATCTGCTGGTACGGGTACGCTTTGCTGCATCTGGAACCAATAACTAGATAATTATTACCATGCGTAACATCACATGGAATGGTTACCAGAAAAGAGAGTTCGTGATTCGCTTTCGGCTTCCCTCCCTCCGGGAGAAATACGAAAACCCAATCGTATGGTGACTTTGATGCTTGAAGCATTTCAACGGTTCATTCGTAACAGGATGTGCGAACAAGAGACAAATAATAAGGATATGATTCATATATTTATCCCGCGGGTGAAAGCTGATAAGACGGCTTGATCTTTCGGCAAACCATGGGCTCTCATCCAGTCGATGTCGGGTATGTGATGAACCAGTTATTTGATTTCGGAAGTATGGACTTAAAATCGTAAATTATTCCCGTATCCGACAGACTCATAAACGAATAAAAGTCCGCGGTTCGCATATGAATTCGGGATAAACACGACTTGAACCACCCAAACAATCACCGGTTTTTCAAAACTTTCACCACGAACACGCTCATGTTGCATAATCTCCGTGTATTGCAAAAATATAAAAAAAGATGACACAAAAGAAAACTGCGAACATTCAGTTGCAAGGATATAATGGAGCCCATAGGAACTCGGGTGGTCGCTTTACGGTAAATTTTTCTTTACAATAATGTCGCGTCTCACTTGCTATCTGTTCTGACTTAGAATTAAAACTTCAGGCAAATGGTTAGAGTAGGCATATTAAATCGGATTCATACCACTGCGGCAAGCGGGAGTGAAGAAAATTATTTAATTATGAGTGCAATTACAAATGCTCTCGGAGGAACTGAAGAGTAAAATTGGCAGCAATACCTCGAGCAGTTGAATAATAATTCAGAGCAGTGGTTCTCAAACTGTGGGGCGTAGACAATTTCTTGAGGTTTGATATTGCCCGTCTTATTTCGGATATTTACATTTCTTTATTTAGGATATTTGCGTCCCATCCACGTATTTTTCTGAATAGAACAATACTTCCGCCATACTATCTGTTTTGGAGGTGAGGCGCGGGACTTGACAAAGTATAAAAGGGGGCGAGGCTTAAAACGTTTGAGAACCACTGATTTAGAGGTAACTTGAATAAAGGCCACAAAGTCATTGTGTCCAGGAAGACGGAAATTTCATGAGGTGGGATTGCTCATGTGGTACTTTAGGCTAGGGCTACTCAACTATTTTTACCGAAGGTCCGCATACAAAACTTCAAAAATATTTGGGTCAGAAATTATATTTCGGCATGTTTAAACACGCAATTCCTCGGCTGACTAATGATTATTAGCGAATACCCAAAAGATCCGGATTCGGACCGTGGCCAGCCAGTTGAGTAGCCCTGCTTTAGGTCATATGGTTAGAATTGAAGTTTTGGCAGCTTTCCTGTATTTTTGTACATTTTTTAAAATAAATTATATCTCACACCCAGGGATCGCCAACCTACATGGATCAATAATAACATGTCCAAAATGCAAAAGTAAACTATAATGTCGCCTCTTCTATGAGCCAGAGTCGGGCTGATAGTGGAATATAATAATATGGGTTCTCCATTGCTGTATTGTAAAGAACTAAGAATATAGCGAAAATGTTAATATTGCATAAAAAGATTTGATTTTGAGCTCTGCAATTAGTCAAGTTTCAGTGATTAGAGGGGATTTATGCTTCAATGAGCATTGAATTGCTTCATTTGAAAAAATCACATAATTGATTCTTGAATTCTCTCAAATTTTATTGGCCAAACATTGACTGAAGTGAGCCAATGGTATTAAAGTGAAAATTGATACAATTTGTTGGTCAAGGATTCTTGGAACTTTTCTGAAGGCAAGGTCATATACAATGACCTTTTACAAGGTCGATTCAAGGTCACAAGTACCCACTTCAAGGTCACAGGAATTCAGCCTAGGGTCACAAATCCTCGCTCCAAAGGTCACAAGGACTTGATTATAGGTCAAAATAACAGGAAAAGTGGGAGCAACAACTTGAATAAATCACAATTTGTTACAGTATGAAAAAGATTGCTCGAATGATGTAGAAATAATACAGAGCTGAATGTTCGCTGAGGGATCGAAATACTTTATATCACGGTTCCGTTATTTACAAAGTATAATCACAAAAGCAGATCTAACTTCCTGCTTCTAAATAAATCAATTTAGAAATACTTGGAACAAGCCAGAATATCTGGGAGCCCTGCTGTCCAGTCACGCTTGACTGAAAATAATTTGGAAATGAGTAAATTGAATTATGTGATAAGACCTGATTCTACATAACTAGATTATGTATGAAAATGAATTGTGACAAATCTCAAGTCCACGGCTCTGAAACAAATAACTAGTCAGGTACATATTCCCATACCTGACATGGACTGGTAACTGGACGAGAGGCTGTGTTTCGCCATATGATAACCCTTTCCCTGTGATAAATATACAAATCTTATCCTGTTCAAGAATACATAGAGCAAGAGCAAGTTTTATCCAGGGGCTTTCAACTCTTTATTTTTTCATTTACCCCTTTGCAAATATCTAAAGTAAAACCTACCAACTAATCAGTCACTGTTTGTGTGGGCAGTTGGAATTTAGATCAGTGATGGTTGCGGGATAAATAAGAAAGCCAGAGTCCATGACAATGCAGGTGGATTGCGATTAAACTTTGGAGGGGAGGAAACAGCGAAATGGATCCAAGCATCCACTGAGAAACTACAGAAAATATAAACATTGTTACAGTGTGATATAAAAATTCCATCAGAACCCCCTCAAAATAATTAATATACGACCTCTAGCGGTTAGTATGATATATAAATGTTAAAAATATATATTTGCAGTACGCTATGATTCAGCTCTTATAAGAAGCTTATTCAGCAATATATATACAATGCATGATTTCGGTAAAATAAATAAACAAACTTGCAGACAGATGCTCTTTATGATATAATAAACAAATTTATTTTAGCACATTGTAAGGATATAATAATAAAATGAAACTTTTGATAAAATCTCAAAATTGGCTTCTTTTAAAAGACTCACGAATTGCCCCAGACAGGTTTCAGGAGTCAAAGATAATTCACAACTGACAACAAATTTAAATTAAATAGCTACTCTGAGCTAAAAGGAATTCAGAAACGAGAAGAATCCTGTCAAATCCAGCTTCAACGTCTGCTTTTGGGACTGGGAAAATATTAAAACAGAACCCATGTCTTTTAAAAAGTTTGCACTACAGTAAAAACATGATCAACTCAAAACGCTACAGCTCTGTGGAGCTCCAGAGACGAAAACTACAAGTATGGATTCCCAACAGGAATAAACAGGGTTTAGGTCGTTAAAAAAGCTACTCTGACCAGAAAAGACATTTGCGTCCGATGCAAACTCAGTAACCAAAGCTCTAGAAGTGAAGCTTCAGAGAAAAAGGTTGTCAGGTATGAAAACTAAACAAAATTAGTTTTCGAAAAACGACTATGATTCTATGCAGGCCGCCGACTTTTATGACAGTTTGACTTGTCTGATAATCATGGCTTCCTGGCGGACAACAACACAAGGGGTGGGCAAACTAGGAGCCACGATGTGATTTTGTTACAGCCCATAAAAGCCTTGAGCAATTTTTTGGAAAAAGATAAAATTCAACAAAAATGGAATTATCACTATTCTCTTGGATTCATGTCACCCAACTACAATGACTGACAGCAGTTTCCAATCTTTAGAAACAAATAAAACATTACTTGTTTTTTCTGGATAATTTAGAGAAAATGAAATACTGGTTCATAATAAGACATTTGTGGTACATTTATAACGTACTCATTAAAAAGTGAAGCCCCAGCAAATTCCTATGGTCACGACTGAGCTCGAAGGTGAAAACTAGGGTTGCCATAAATCTGATTCAAATCGCTTCGAAAAAAAAGGGATTCGAATCATAAATCCAAAAGTGGCATCTGTATTCAAAACATTGCCCGCCCCTGAATATACAGCTCAATAGGTTTTAGACTAAATATAAAGAAATCATATAAAAGTAAAAATGACTTTTAGATTCACTGAGATATAATGAGAATAAAAACAGCGGAAAATCATTATGTTCAAAATATTATAAAATGACTCAAACTGCTTGTAGCTGCTCTGAACAAAATCGTGCACAGCAAATGAAGATAAGAGGTCTGTCATGGTTTACCCGATTATTCAACCATGGACGAAGTTTGATGCTGACCTTGGTCAGACGAAACGTTACAGAAATATATTTGTGTTAGTGTGCGGCAAGACTCTTGAATCACTTAGGATAGTTATCTTTACTCTTGCTATGACATCCTTGCAATATAATACAGTCTCTCTATCTCAGAGTAAAGATGACTATTTCGTGTGTTCCAAGAGCCTTGCTGCAGACTGACACAAATGCGAGGATAGACTTATGCTTGTCTGATGTAGTCTCATGTTACAGAAAATATTTGTGTTGTTGTGCAGCAAGACAATTAAATTACTTGAAATAGTCATCTCCACTCTTGCCACAGCATCCTTGCAACATACATATATAGTCCATATAAGGGTAAAGATGACTATTTCGTGCTTTCCAAGAGCCTTGCTGCAGACTAACACAAATGCGAGAACAGACTTATGCTTGTCTTGGGAAGTCTTACATTACAGAAATATATATCTGTTAGTGTGAAGACTATTGAATCAAATTAAAAGTTATCTCTATTTGCAAATATTATTGGCATCACACCCCAGATGCGGTGTGTGCATGGGATTTGAATTCAAAATGTGTAATCTGCGATGTCGTCAAAGTTAAAGCCAAATCTTTTTCAGCCACTAGGGCATTGCCAGAAAAAATACTGCATTCTATGTCTTATGCTATTAGATTTGGTAAATCCCATTTGGTATCGATCAATATTTTGACAATTTTGAATAAGGTTCCTTATAATGCAAACTGAATTTTTAAAATTCATTGTAAAGGGTGGCCCCACAAGGTGGAGGGGGAGGTATTTTTTGAGGGGGCGTGAAACTAATTAAAAATATTTGTTAGATTTGATTTTTCCCGTCTTATTTTGGATATTCACATTTCGAAACTTTCCATTAATTTCTTTATTTACGTTCCATTCATTCATTTTTTGAATAAAACATACTTTCGCCATCTGTTATTTGTAGTTTATTGCTAGCTGGTTATTTTTGAGGGGGGATGCGAGACTTGACAAATTCTAAAAAGGGGGACTTTACAATGGAGAAGATATTTCTTTATTCTTAAATTATATGGCATGAATGAATATGGGTGACTGTTTTGAGACTATTCTTTAGAACTTTTTCCATGTCAGAAGACTTCTTCGAATCAAAGAGGTTGTTCCGCATAATCCATGTTTTCTACACAGCTCAATATCGACCTTCGGTGGTCTTCATTGACTATTCCACAGTCTTGCAGATCCGCATCAGTGATATCGCTAAACAAGAAGATATGAAAATTGATTTTAACTACCAGATGGATTGGTTGTACACAATACATTCATAGGTTTTTTTGGAATCTTTCCCATCCAGCCTATCCAAATCATTAAGCCCTGGATGGGGGCATGGGATTGGAAGTTCTTATGTCATGCCATCATAGTTAACCACAAGGCCAGCTGTTTCCAACTGGGTGCCCGGTTGTAGGGGGCCATAATGCTAAGCGCAGTATTGATATTACATTTCTCTTGACAAAAAAACTCAGAGTACTTCCTAATTTAACTACTTGATAAATACATTTCACAGCTTGTTTTTACTTTGTTGATCAAGAATTGTTTGAACATATTGGGATTCAGAATCTACTCATCATTATAACACTACAAATACAACTGGAATGATAAACAGGGAGGGCCAAGAAAACTGAAAGTCTCTGAAAAGGGGCAACAAGCCATAACAGGTTGGGAACCACTGGTCCAGCGCCTGACAAAAGAAACTCAGCTCAAGAATCTCCAGAATAAGCAAATTTAAAGTATCATTTTTAGGATGGATTTTTATGTTTGTCCCTAGGGTGAGGAGAATGCTAAGACAGATCATATGGTGAGTCTAGCATGGGGGTTGGCAAAGTTTTCGAACCAGGGGCCAAAAATTTTGCCCGCCTAGACTGGCGGGCCATGTAAGTGTGACGTAAAAAGTTACATTTTATTATAAATTTAATCGCAATCTCAACATATTCCTTATTTTTTAGATAAAACATCGAAATTTGGTTTTAGTTTTTAGCAGCATCAGGCAGGCCAGATTAAATTACCCAATGAGCAGATTTGGCCCGCGGGCCGTACTTTGCCTATGTCAGGACTAGAACATGACTATCCCTCACAAGTGCGCATGTCCTCCCAGATCCTCAGCCCTTCTTGGGGGGTAGAAATATAACCTCTGAATCCAGTGGGTACTATGGCTAAACAGACCTTGCCACTGCTATAGAGAATGTTATTTGGGAGGGAATACTGGGTAAACAAAAAATTAGTGGGGAAATTTGAGTCGTCCATTGCCTTGACCTATTAAAATTATATAAAATTATATACACTTGAGGGCAGTATTTACCTGAGGAATTCGAGGTTGTCCCATCCGCTATCGGTGAGTGCCGTAGTATATTGAGATAAACCGAGTCGCGACATCATGTCCTGTATGGATACTATTGGAGTCGTGACCCCCGCTAATTGCAAACTTTTGCCACGATTCGGAAGTTGAGGGGCGGGCCCCGAGGGGGGAGGGAGCACTGGATTTCCATGTCCAATCATATTTCTTGAATAGGAATACGATCCGGATGATTGACCAATCACAGTTCTTGATTGGAGAGGCGGTGTTGAAGATTGTCCAATCACAGTCCTCGATTGCAATGGAGGGGTGTATGATTGGTTGACAGGAGCTCTTGAAGGCGGAGCAAAACCAGGTTGACGAGGAGCAGTGTTATTGAACGAAGGCAAGGCTTGCCTGGCGTCAGTGCTATGCCACAAATTAGGCTGTGAATGCCGCGGAGATGAATCATGATTCTGGTGAGGCATGCTTTCATTTTCTTGCTTAGTCAAGGCTTCAAACAGACTCCCTGCAGCTTCAAATTCCGCAATCACAGCATCGAGGTTCGATGGAGAAGGTGTCGAACTATTTGTGTGAATCGGTAAACCGGACAGATCAAGGGTCGGGGGGTCGGAAGTGGGTCGATTGTGTGGAAACTTCGCTGGAAACGTCGGACTGTTTTGTTTATTCTTCTGCGGACTAATTCCTCCACTAGGTGGTGCACCAGCTCGTTGATACGTCTCCCCGTATGTGACAGGTTGTATATGCTGCGACTCATGTGGGAATTGCTGTGGAGGAGGAGTGGGGGCCGCCATAGGAGGGCGAGTATCAACGGAACGAGACCAACTCTGGGGAGGGGCAGCCTTTGTCACTTTGGGTTGCAGATTACTCCCAATCTTAGACGTCATGCCTGCTATTTTCGAGGCTACATTGCTCAACATTGAACTACGAGTGGGGTCACGAGAGGTCGGTTCTGGTGCGTCAGAATATAGGACAGGCTCAACTTCCTCACGTTTCCCGAATTGTATGAAGTCGTATTCTTTTTCTTTTCTACTAAGCGTGCTATCTCTCGTCTTTACGTGCATTGAACCTTGTACCCTCCCTGCGTCCTCACCTTTCCGAGTTAAATGTTCGTTGAACTTCTGCGGACATGTCCCGATCATGGACCGCAAGGCTAAAACAAACTCAGCGTACGCATCATTGTCATCTTCTCCTTTCACTAAGACGAGAAGATGTTGATCAACGAGATATTCTCTGTCTGAGATGATTGGGCGAAGTTCCGGCAGGTTGTCCCAGATTACACGAACACAGTTTTGGCCGATTTCCGATGTGTTGAATTTTGTGCTTGAAGATGTGCGTTCCTCTCTTGCGAGACACGTTGAATGAAATTGCAGATAAAAGTTCGACTTTCCAGAGGCTTTCAAGATTGCTTCTATTGACTCGAATTTAATAGTAGCGGGTTGCATAGCGGAATCTGGGTTGCCAGATTTTAATCCTTCGTTTGAGACATATTGACCTCTGACCCCAACTTGGATGTTGAAGAAAACAGGCGAATGGTCCGAAGTCATGATGTCGTCCGAGCAACCATACGCGTGGCAGACGTTATGAGTTTCGGGGTAGGATTTCCACAACACTCGATCGCACCACGATGGTACATTGATTCGAATCCCAGTACGTTTGATCTTCAGATGTGAGTAAGCTTCGCGTGTCCCTCGTTCGTAACGATACGTCGGCTGAAACGCAATCTCATCCTCGCTAAAATCATAAAATACTTTGTTCAATTCTTTTTCACGTCGCAGTTGATCGACTTTGTACAAATCACTCAGATCTCGTTTCTTGATATGTTCGAGAATATTGTGAACGTCCATCTCAAGTCGATAGTTCAAATCTCCGAGGAAAAACAAGTGATCGAATCGATTTGTTAAATCGAACATGGAGCACCGATCGTGTCCAAGGTTCAGAGAACGCATAATATCGTGATAATTCTGGTTTCGCCTCGTACATTTCTCATTGCCAGAAGTTAAATGAGCATTAATAAAGCATAATGACGTCCCCCCAAATTGAAATGAAACCGCTACTGCCCCCTTGTTGCCGAGAGTATTTGCGATTCCGGTTTTGACCGAAGACGTTTGGACGTGACTGATTCTGTTCTTATGCTCTTCCTTAACGAGTAAAATAATCTTGATATGCCAGAGCGCATCCATAGCGACAATGTGCAGCTTCTTTCCTGTGATTTCCGAAATGGTTTCTGTGACTTTGTGAAGCCATTCCTTTTCTGGCAAACCGGTTTCCTGAGTTCCGATTGCGTAGATATCATGTGAAATATCACAAACCGATTGATCTAACGTACGTCCACTCCCTCCGCACCGAAACCATGACCGAATGTCCACCGGAGGCATAGCGTCACCCATGTTCCAAGCACCGATGAAGATTGACACAAAGTCCGGTTCTGTGTTGTTTGAGTGCATGTTGCGCAGTAACTGCATCACCTGGAAAATTAAAATTGATTTCAAATCTGGCCAGTGACCACAAAAAAAATGCACAAAACTTTGCCCAGAGATGAGATTACTTCTGAGTGAGTGCACATAACTTTTCCCAAGAATGAGTCTCCTTTAGTTATGAGTGAGTGCTAGTAACTTTGCTCAGTGACGAGTCTCTTTTACTTTTGAGTGAGTGCCCATAACTTTGCTCAGAGATTACTCGCTTTGACTTCAGTTCTGAGTGAGTGTGAATGACTTGCTTTGAGCATTAGAATAAGAATGAGAGAGCATTAGAAACTAAACACAAAAAATCAACTTGGTTTTACACTCTTACCGATGTTACGATAGTGAATGAAAATTCTTCAATATTTATATGTTCCGGAATATTTAATCCTGATTTTACATTATTTTGTTCTGGCTAGTTCTGCATGAGCGAACTTACTTGACAAAAAGCTTCTCTCTTTCCACTGTTCTCAAACAAGTATTCTCGTTTCTTTCCTCCCTCGTAGACTAGGCTCAGTTTAGAACGAGATTTATGGTTTTTGATGATTTGAAGAACTGAGGAAAAGAAAGATTGAATTTATAGGCATTCTATATCTCTGCTCCAAACAAGGCTCGAGGCAAGGAGGGATGAAGAAATCTGTATTTGTGTGCATAAGTATAGGGTGTCCATAAAGTCTTAAAATTTTTAAAATTGCAAAAGGAATTCATCGATACCACAGCCCTCACAGATGTATTAAATGAAGTAAAAATACTTGAACAATTACTGATTAAAAACAGACCTGGTTAAGATATATTGAAAACTGACTTCATAACAAAATTGAAATTGTAAAGGGACTCCATGGTCCCTGTATTTTAATCCAGTATTATTAAAAGTCAAGCGAACATTGTAAACTTTTAAAACTGTGTAAAGCCAGAGTTGTGCATAAACTTGGCCAACAATAGATTGAACAACATATGGTATAGTAAAGGGGGGGGAGGTTCAAAATAGGGAAAGTAAGGGATAAAAACAAATGCTGGGAACCAATGGACTTGGGACTAGAGAGCCCTTTCCTGCTGATCAACCAATTAGCATAATGGAGACATAAAGAGTTTTAAAATAGGCAAAGTAAGGTATTAAAATGCACGCTCAGCCTTAACTGACGTAGGTTTGATTGTACATTGAAAACCGTTTCAGAATAACAATACATCACAAATTAAACTTTGTGTTTATACCATACCCCTAGATCAGTATTGGCAAAAGTGTTTCTCCCGGGATGACAATACTGGTAAGGACTTGTCGTCAGAGCAAAGGCCTGATAGATAAAGCGTTGGATTTGACTGTGTCGCATGTTAAAACATCACCCATAGTGTAATAGAAATGTAAACAACTCCCTATACTGAATGGGATCTTGCTCATTGCCTTATTCAGAGAAAACATACCTTGGTCCTGAGTAAATTTTTGAATATCTTCCCCCTTCATCACGACTAATCGTCCGATTTGTACGTTGACCTGTAGTTTCGCTTTCGTTTGCTTCAAACCACTGTCAACTTTGACCTCAAAATTATACTCAGGAACGCTGTGACTTCTCCTAGTGGACGAGGTGGAGGAAGTCCTCAATGCCGTTCCGTACAGGCTTTCAACCTCCATACCAGCTTGTTCCTGGTGAAAGATAAAAATTAGGGGTGTGAAGTGGGCGTGACCTAACAAATTATATTCTTTTTGGTTCATTCTCTCTGCCTATGTGTTGGATGCACAGATTGAAATGGCAAACAAGCCAAGCCGTTCACAATAATGATATAAAACCATGTAAATATATACATATAAGCAATCCCACTACTGATAAAACAAAATGGTTATTGGAGGGTAGCAAGGTTAATATAATAATAGTGGGAAACCTAATAGGAAATTGATTATATTAGAGCAATATAGCCGACATGTAATACTCATGCCAGTGGACCATCGGAGAATAGATCCAGGTTGACAAACCCAAAGTCCGCAAAACTCTGAATACAATCTATTTATATTCGGGCACTTTATCGCATATTTTATGTCCACAGATTGCCATAGTATGTTAGGGTGGTAGTCTTTTATTTTACTGTAAATCAGCGCAAAGGCGAGTTAGAATGAACACATTTAAATTAATATGGCAAGACATTTTAAATGGATGGCCATGGATTGAATATTTTACACAACAGAAAATCACTATCCACTGAAAAAGTCGGCGATTTTAACAGGTGGCCTTGTTGGATGGGAATTTTCGATTCGATTTTGAAACCCCTACTTTTTGAAAATCCTGGCTGCACCCATGCTGGAACTGCAAGAGTATTAATTTTGCTAAGCAATCCTATTCTTTATTTTGACGTAGAAAAGTGTGGTAATGTTTTATTGTCAGGGGTTCAGGGCTGAGGTCGAAGTAAATAAAAACACAAAAATCCCCACCTTTATAGTGATTGAAATCCTTTTGTCCAAGTGTTTGACGGTATTCTTGCAATCGCCAAGCCGAGTTAGAAATGATTCAAGATCAACGTCTCGATCTGATCTGGGGTCATGACCTTCACGTGTCACTGCACTTTGAACATCGAAAAGTTGGCGTAATGCACTGATCTTCAGCAAAAATACTCCCAGCTCTCTGAAATGGATTGATCATTAGTAACATTATGGTTCCCTACTTTTTTTGATACTTCACTGTCTTTGCCTAACTTTCATTTGTTCACGCTTGTTGGCTGCCTATATACAATCTGGCTTGACTTTGCTCAGAGATGGGTATCCTTAACTTGTGAGTGAGTGCCCATAACTTTGCTCAGAGATGAGTCTTTTTTACTTCTGAGTGAGTTTCCGCAAATTTGCTCAGAGATGAGTCTCCTTTACTTTTGAGTGAGTGCGCGTAACTTTGCTCAGAGATAAGTCTTTTACTTTTGAGTGAGTGCCTGTAACTTTGCTCAGAAACGAGTCTCTTTTACTTCTGTGTGAGTGGAATCTTTCAAAAAATGTCCATAAATCTCATACTTTTGCAAGTTCCCGGCTTCCTTAGCGAGCAATTTCTGCATTTCAGCACACTGACTTCCGTTATTAAGAACGCCGTCTATATCCTGTTTTGCATTGTCGTTGCAATATTGTTGAAGTTGATCAATAAACGATGAACCAATGTTCGGACTAGAATGGAAAAATCATTTTGGTGAGAAAACTCAGGATTTTCATTTTAGGGATTTTAATTAAATTTGCATTACCGAGATCCTCACATATAGACCGGTCGCACTTATTATACGACCCCCTGAAAACTGCTTTAAAATATTGAATTTATAAAAATTCGCATATAAGCCGACCCTACGAACCGTAACACGCCGTACGCATCTATCACAGTCCAGTCCTATCACAGTACCAAAATAACAAATGAAATACAATCTGATCTGAGCAATATCTTACTGTTGAATATGATCTAATTCAGTATTTAACCCTTTCCATGCGATTTTTATTTTTTATTAAATAATCGTAATTGCTACGCCGACTTTATGCATTTGTACCCCCACAACTAATCGATCGACTAACGAAAAAGTAATGATCCTCTGCTGCCCACTGACGGCTCGTTGGAAAGCTTATTTAAAAAGCTTGCAATTGGCGATTGAAAAAGAAAATTTTTTAAAAGGGGTGGTCTGAGTCACAAACCGGATAGAAAAAAGGCATTTTTTTTCTTGGGTGTTGAAACTTCAAACCGTGATAAAAAATAGAAATATTCGCTAAATCCTTTACTTTTACCGTTTCTTGGTTGGCAAACAATAGCATAATATTGCTGTAGCAATTTCGTTATCTAACTCAAAATACTTTGGTAGATGGAAGGGATAATATGTCTTCTATTACCACCCAAAAAACACCGAAATTTGCATAAATTTCAAAAACACTCACTCGTACCGCCGCAAATAAAATCCCCATGGTAAACGAAAGCGAGATTTACCGTCGCTTATGTTAATCTCGAAGAAGACTTCTTATCAATAACCTAAAACCCTGAAAAACTAGACCAACAGTTTGCGACCGATTGCTCAATAAAACAGTGGAGTACATCAACGTACCCGCCGCAATCTAGCGAGTTTTGTCGTGGGTACGTATACGTGCCCACTGCACGGAAAGGGTTAAGTTCAAATGGAACTCTGAAAGGGTTTCCATATTTATTCAAATAAAGAGGAAAAAAACTTAGGGCAAGATTAACTGTTGATTCTAAGTTATATCTTGTTTTGTTTAAGAGAATATTTCCATTTAAAATTTTTTTATATGTCTGAGTGGGAGAGAGAAGTTGGTAAGGTAGTTATTTAGTTAACGGCCAGAAAGTGTCGGAATTCAATTGAATACCTAAGAAAGTGAGCATTTAGTTCAATTTTCCGTTTCAACAAAACGAAGAACAATACAGAGCAAAACAAACAAATACCAAATAAGATTTAAGACGTGCTAATGCACTTGCCCATTAAAAAGGACAACACAATGAAGTAATTTAAAAAAATACACAAAAGACAATTCGGGGGCAACTACTACAAATCTGATTATAACTAATACAGCAAATTTTTTATTCCAGAAATAATTTTAAATATTTCTGTTTAAAAAAATTGTTGTTTTACCAAAATGATAACCCACATTAGGATGAAAAGACTTGAAAAAACTAAAAATATAGGAATACTAATTTGTTTAGTTTATTTTGTAAATTTTCAATTTAAGAAGCGGATTTCCCAGATACCGAGCAAAACTACTGCAAAAACTAGAAAATCGAGTGACACAATGCCCAGAATAATAGTTTTCGTTATATAAATCTGGCATCTACTTACTAAGCGCCTGCGATAGATTTCACACGTTCCTTCAGTTTTTCATGGATTTCCAAAGCAATCGTACTATTGCTGCCACTAGGGGGAGGGACAACCTTTGCTGCTGGTCTCTGCGGTGCATCTCTATAAAAGGAATAAACAGTAAATTGTTAGATTGCTCCCTTTAAACAGCGCCCTGGGCAAAATAGCTCGAACATATTATTGGCTTATCTGACATTGCAAATGCAGGACAGATTTGCGTTTGGTAGGTTGCTATATATTATGGCAAGGGAAAATTGAATTATTATCTTGTGAATCACGGTCTCGTTCCAGTACCAGCCCATGTCAGGTATGCTACTAGATAGCCAGTTATTTGTTTTGGATGCATGGACTTTATGGCGGAGGGAGACAAAACCAAACAGTGAAACAGAGTGCAGACAAATAGTATGTCCAGGAAAGTCACTCATCATCATCATAGGATTTATATGTTATCGCAGCAGGGAGAGAAAAGGTGATAAGATAGCTTAAGCATGCGACGAATGGCAGCTTCTCCAAAAAATAAAATAAGACTATGTTCAATTCATTTTTTCAAAATAATAATTTTGTAATTGAAGATTTTTTAACCATTCCCAAAATATTTATACTCAGGTATTTCATTCATTTTAAACATCCATGATTTAATTATAATATTGAACAGACAAAATTACCTGAGAATCAGGAATATAATATATTTTGATAGCCTATTCAACTAGTTTTGGAAATCTCTGTTCAATTATCAAAATTGATGAACAACAGGGTGTCCATGAGGTCCTTTCACCATTTCAATTTTGTTATGAAGTCAGTTCTCAATATATCCTAACCAGGTTGTTGTTTTTTGTTCAGTAATTGTTCAAGTAATTTTACTTCATTTAATACATCTATGAGGGCCAAAACAATATATAATATCGATAAATTTCCTTTACAATTTAAAATTTTTTAAGACTTTATGGACTTTATAAAATCGTTTTGGATATCCCATGTAATGCAAATCGTTTTGGATTTCCCATGTAACGCAATGACTGCAATTACCGGTACTCAATATGCTAATTTTTTAAACTGAATTTTTCTCCTAAATTATGAATTCAAATGATTATTGAACACAAAAAGTTTGGATCAATTTGAATATTATGTCGCATGAAATTATTTAAATCACCACTCAATAAAACCCTTAGAAACTTTGTTTCTAAACTTTATATCTAAAACTAAAACCATCAACTATTCACCTGCTCTCGGCAATAAGCTAAAATCATGAGTAATTTCAAATTAAACAAAAATGTAGCCTGAGGCGGAAACGACGGTATTAAATCCTCATTAAACAGTACGGATTTTGCTGTCAAACAATGTGGTTTGCAGAAAAATTAACATTAGTTTGATGGGACTTTGCCTAAAATAAATCAAGTATAGCAAAAAATATTAGAGCACGGACACAAAATTCAAATGACTAATATGGCCACCGAGCAAACAACAATTAAAATCAAACATTAATAAACAATTTTGCTGAATTCGATGGAATGTTGTCATATGTAGGTTTGCCTGTGATAATTTCAAAGCAGTGGTTCTCAAATAGAGGGACGTGCCCAACAATGGGGGACGGAGACAATTTGGGGGTGTCAAGATAATTGAAAATAAAGATATTTGTTAGATTTAATCTTGCCGCCTTGGATATTTACATTTCTTTATTTTGGATATTTTCGTTCCATCCACGTATTTTCAACATGTTTTTTTAATAAAACATACTTTCGCTTTACTATCTGTTATTTATAGCCTATTGTTAGCGATTTAATTTTGAGCTGGGCGCAAACTTGGCTTTGAAAAACACTGTTCTAAAAGAGATTTGCTCAGGTCTCACACATACTCACTCAGAAATAAAGAAGATCGATCGCAAATTTATCGACGACCACTGAGGTGTTAAAAGCTACTGAGACTTCAAAGAATTATAAAGCAGAATTGCTTGTTAGTTACGAATACGAAAACAGCAATATCAGGTTCTGGAGCACTCATAGAAATTAGGGCCCGACCGATACTGCCTTTTTAAACTGATACCGATACAGATACTGAAAGTTTTCTAAACTAAGCAGATAAATCGATATGGATGTTTCTTCACCTGAAAAAAGGCTACAAGCAACACTTTGAGAATTCTGTGTTTTTCTTGCAAAAGAAATTAGATCTATAACAAAATGTTGAACTCATGCATTGATGACAAAAAATACATAAAATGTACATTTACACTGTGTATCGCTGGGTTTAGCAATTTTCAACGCCTTATGTTAGAAATCATCAGTGAAAAGCCACAGTGCCGAAAAAAATTGTGTGCATGGCAAGAAAGAACACTTATTGTAAGGGCAGGAAGCTTATGAATCTCAATAGCTCCAGTCCATCAGTCTCAACTTGTAGTTAAGCGATAAAACTGCTTTCCCGGCGTAATTTGGTCACTTTGGCAGTCAGGTGATTGGCTGATGGATATGGAGGTAACTAATTTTGTTCGCCTACTTTACATCAAGTTGTGTAAATGGACTGAAACCTACAGTATGTGCAAGCTGGGACAGTCCCCTAACTCGTAATGGAACTAAAATAGGGAAAATCAGAATATAAATTATGGCCTCTAACCTGGTACACACACTACGGGAGTACCTCACTTTCAACGTTATTCCTAATAATTTTATGACAAAACAGGCGATTAGAGTAACTCATTATGAAAATGGATTGATATTCCACATAACATACACCGGCATAAAGGATGACATATGACCTGGCAAATACAGTGTAACAAATGTATAAGTGTAAATGTATAGGCTGTATAGAGCCTTGCAGTGAAAACATTATAGTTCGAAAGTGCCAAAAAAGGAATTATGATGTCATACTTATTGGTGGTGCGCTCATGCACTCACTTCTATTGTTCTATCATAATGTGTGAAAAAATTCCACAATTTGAATATTTTCTAAATCTTGTTGAGTCATCCATTGTTCTCTAAAGTGACACACAGAACTACCGTTTGATGACAGCTCACGTAATAGGTGGGCAGTATTGAAGTAAAATCTAAAATGCCGTTTTGATACACATTACTATTTTAAACCATTTAAAGTGAAAGCAATAAATCACATATAAGGAAGTGAGTGGAGGATCATTTGGCAATTCAAATTTCTTGAAGGAAATTTGCTCTACGTCAGGCTATATGCTCTTACTCAGGAGGAGACTCAATTTTGATAATTTTTTGGGCGGCCACTTAAATGTCAAAAACTACGAGACTGTAAAGAATAATAATACAGAATTGTGCATTAGTACAGTGGTTAAATTCGCCTATTTTGTAACTCTTATTCCTCCCTCACTATACACAAAAACCTCTTCGTTTATTCAACTGATCGTTAGCTAGTGTTAAAAATAGATAAAATACAGCCAATAAAACCATAGCCGTTTTTTATGTTTGGCATCATTTATGTCAGGGGTGTTCAAACTGCGGCCCGCTGGCCAAATGCGGCCTGCAAAAAGAAGTTGTGCGGCCCGCGGAGAAATAACAATTTCGAATGATGTACCCGCAAATTGAGTATTTATTCTTTTTCGTCACAAAGCCCATACCAGTCATATTAGCAAAACAAGCTAGCAAAATTCTGTTACAAAATACTAGATTTATATTACAAAAAAGTGTTTCTCACTGCATTCGTTTGAAGTCGGTGAGACAAAAAATTTAAATAGCAGTTTCTTCAGAAGTTTATGCGTTTTAAATCTACTATTTCTGCAAGAACCCCTAAGAATGCCGTAAGATCCATAGCAAATATAGGTAATTTTTGTGCTTGCAACTACCAGAAAGCCTAAATTAAATAAAGGTGCGGCCTGCGGCTTCACCCAGTTACTTGTATTTTGCCCGCCAATAAAAAAGGTTGCACACCCCTGATTTATGTCATAAAAATGCATCTAAAACACTATATGCACCAAAATTGACACTAGATTAGCAATGTTCATTGTGGACCATGCAATTCTGTAAACGGCCGCTTGAACTGATGGACACAGTTTTCAGACCAAACAAATTTAGTAGAGGATCTTGGCCCAGTGCCAGCAGCGCCATAGTCAACAGCCCCATCACTGCTATAACTTTCTACAGCTTCATTACCGTCAATATCAAAATCGCTATTTGATTCTGATAAACTATCACTCATACAATAAACGATTTATTTCATCTCTTGTCAAACCACGCTTTTAACTCGCCCTTTTCGATTTCGAGTTGCACGGTCCACGTAGCCCCGCTCACCTCTGGGTCAGCTGTAACAACAGCAACCTATGATGTGCGTATTCGCGGGTAACGGGCGGCCAGCGGCATCTGCATACTAATTTGCATAGAAAGAGTGTAATATATATTGCAATCATGAGCAACAGTTCTTACCTGTTAGGAGGGGGGACAGGCGGGAGTTCCCTCCCTCTCTGAGGTGGAAACATTTTATCATCGAGCATCACACGAACTCCTGATCTTGGTTGGGTCTGAGGGAGACTCGATACTGGGAGACTAGATACTGGCAACACAGGCCTGGGTGGTTCGGCAGTGGGTGTGCCGCTGTTGAACCCTGGAAAAGAAAAACCAAATGAAATAATGGCTGCGCAGGGCTGCGCAACCTGGGCGAAATGCGACCAACAACGAGAAATTGTGCAGCTCGCTGAGAACTGCTAATCTTAAATGGTGTCTGACACACAAAACAATTTTAAATTTCGTTCAATCTGGTATATGCGAGTAATTCCTCATGAGTGAAGGGGGCTATCTCTGAGCAAAGTTATCGACAAAAGTAACTAATTTTGTTTGCCCACAACTGTAAAGATACTGTAACCAATGGACAGGGAGCATATTCATTGGCTAACACAGACAGCACCGAACTCGTAATAAAACTAAAATAAGGAAAATCAGAATAAAATTATGCCCTAACCCGGGTACACATACTACATGAGTACCGAATTATGTTGGCACACTCACTCGGAAGTCAAGGAGAAACTCATATCTGAACAAAGTTACGGGAGACCACTGAATCAAGGCCTACTCAACCTCTAAACCAGGGGTCGGCAACCTTTTATCGCTTGCGGGCTAAATTTAAAGGTTGCAAGTCATTGGCGGGCCGCACATATTTTTAAACAGTCAAAAACCGAATGGAAGGCCAATGAATCACATTTTTTCACACAGATCCGACGTTAAATTTCAAGCAGCGCGCGAAGACTGATCATTTGAATATTTTCTGCGTCAATACACCATTGGGACTCGGCATCAACTTTTCCACGTTTTGACGCCATTTGTCTAATTATAATAAAATTATAGGCTCATTAAACGAGAATTATATACTTGTTAGAATATAATTTAATGTAGTCTACACGTGTCTCAAAATAAATTCTATTACGTAAAGAATATATTCATCAAAACAGATGTTTTGTTACTATATTTCAGCGAAGCGTCGCGGATCGGATTATATTGCTCCGGATCCGGCCCGCGGGCCGTAGATTGCCGACCCCTGCTCTAAACCATAGTTTCTCAAAGTGCTCCATTGGAGGCCTCAGGGCTCCGTGAGAGAAACAAGCTATCCTCAAGCTATTCGTTTACTTATTAAAATACTGATTTGGCTAATTTTGTAACTGTCCGGGGAATCGATAATGGCATTATTAAAAATTGAAAAAGGTAGTGTCGAAATGTTACCGCCTTGTTTAAACTTACTCAGAAATATTACTAGGTAAGTAAAATTGAGTTTTTTCCTTTTCCTTATTATGAATTTCTTGTGGGGCTCGATAAATAATGATCAACCTGTTCACAGGCTCCATATCACCAAATGTTTGAAAACCTCTGGACTAACTCAATCTCACCTGTATTGGCTGGGAACCATCCTATGGCATCCCCACGAGTTGGAACCGGTGTTGCAACAGCTGGTGGAGGAGCGAGAGATGGTTTGTCAGATGTCGGCCCTACTGGATTGGTCAATCCACAAACGAGACCATTCTGTGGACTACGATACGCTGTGATCAACTCCGATATTGAAGTAAATTTCCTCTGTTGGACGCCGTTGATTGTCTGGAAAACAGAATATTTGAATCAGAATAAGACTGTTTCATATCTATCCTGATGTGAATGAGATACTAGAAGAGCTTTTGGATCTGAGTCATTTTTTTCTGTGGTGCCAAGGGGTAGAAATCAAATCTTTGCATTCCCAAAGTTTGGGAGTCGAAATCGGTTATTTTTAATAATGATGATATTTAAAGTAAAATTTTTATTAACGGAAACTAAAATAATTAGGTTGAATTACTATTTCAAAGTCTATAAAAGAATGTCCAGACTTTCTTTTTTATTAACAATTTAATCGAGTTGAAAGTTTTTAGTCAAAAGCTCCATCCAACATGGAGGTGGGATCTGACTATTTTTATCAGTTCAGATTTGAAAATAAGTTTTCCCAACTACAAACTTTCAATCTGATTCTAACATACAGTATAAAATTAAATAAATAGATCCCAAAACTGATATATGTGAAAGTTGAGCATAAAATATTGTTTGTTGTTTTTTGATTTCTCTACATCAGTGGTTCCCAAAGTTGATTGTCCGTGGGGCCAAAATTAGAAGCGGAAGTATATTCTCAGGCCATGGGAGGACAGTGCAATAGGCCGACACCAGTTTGTGTAATTGATATACCAGTTTAATTGAATCCTTGTGTATATATACATGCTTAAACAGTGATAATGGTGCAAATGAGTGGAAAAATGTAAAGTTTGGCGGATCAAAATAAATCGCTAAAAGAGCTATTAATGGACCGCGAGGCAATAAAAATAAAATTTAGCCTGGAACAAGATATTTAGATTTGGAAGATTCCTCTATAATTAGGGTCTGGTATAGTTTAGTACCACATATACTTCTAGTGGGCGTTGCATCAAAATTTTTCGACATGACAATCCTAACCCCCCCCCCCCTTTTGAATTTTCCTTCTGCTAAAATCGCCCATGTTTTCATCAGCGTGTTATTTAGGTCGTAAACGACCTTATGTCGGTTTTTATTCTTTCTAAACCATAAATTTCGTGTGCTTACATCGCACATTATGTTTGGTCGCCGTTTAGGAACATACCGTCACTAAAAGCGAAACACGGTTAAATATAGTGGGTGGGATTTGCCTTTTATCCATTACTTTAAAATTGTCGTAGAAAATTTTCGTGTTATCATTAAACAAGGTTGAAAACGCGATTTTTTCCCGGTTTGTGATGATATATAAGATAATTAATGCGAAGTATATCCATCAATTTTTATTGTACTGAAATAAATTTTACTCCATGAGAATTTACAGCAGATTTACGGATTTTTCAGGAAGTTTTATCTTTAAAAATAATCGGAGTGTCAGCATTGCGATTGAACGGAGTCAATGTTACAAGCACGTCTCAAATTTGTCGAATTTGCAAAATAGAAAAAATACGGATCAAAACAATATATGATAGGCGACAGGCAGTTACCACAAATTTTTATTTTTATGTCGGCAAATGGCTGAGGTATTTTAAAATTGTGAATTGTAAAAAATTGTTTTGTTTTGTCGATGCAAACGCTGGTTAAATTTAAGACAATTAAATTAATAAAGCAAGACATTTTAAATATGCCCTTATCGGTCACGAATTGATTACTTTGCACAACAGAAAAATCATTTTTTTGTTGTAAACGTCGGCTCTTTAAACAAGTGGCGTAATCGAGGCGATGAATAGGTATTTTTGATTTAACGATATACTTCATATGCATTTTCATTGTATGAAATAAAATTTTACTTTTCGGGATTTTATATCAGTTATTGAGATTTTTCTAACAGCGATAACGAGTTGGCAAGATTCCAAAAATACGTATTAAAATTAAATACACCGTTTATCTCATATTTTTATGTCCACCGATCGCCGTGGCATTTCAGAGAACTAATGTTTTAATTTTGACGTAAGAAGAAGCAACCGCGAGTTACGTTGGACACAATTAAACTAATATATAAAGACATTTTAGAATTTTGTAGTTGTCAGAGATTGAATATTTCACGCGAAAAGAATAATCATTATACGCTGAAAAGACGTCCCTTTAACGAGCGCGTAATGCGAAGACTGTTACAGACCGCAATGGGAATTTATATGATTATGAAACCCCCCCCCTTTTGAAAATCCTGGCTGCGCGCCTGCCCCCACCTGACTACGTCATCCAAAAATTATGTCAATACGACATCACAATCACAGCAAAGAGCTTGCCAAATATACGTACGATCGCCCGGAATGGCATCGGCGCCGACGATGAAAAACTGACTCACGTCAGCGATCTCTCTCATACTAGGATTGTAGGGACGAGAAAACGAGATGTCGGATGCGCAGACGAGCGGGTCTTGGATGACAGTCCGCATATTTTGAAGGGCTATATTACGTCACTGTGACGTTGCAGTGACGTAATTTTTGGATGAAGTAGTCAGATGGGGGTTAGGATTGAAACATGAAAAAATTGTTATGCAACGCCCACTAGAAGTATATGTGGTACTATACTATACTAGACCCTATAATTACGGCAGCAGGATTTCAAAGAAATATTAATAAAGATCATAAATTATAATTTTACCTGCACAGCGAGGAGTCCACTGTCTGTTGGCAATATCCGATATGTATGTATTGACCCACCGTGCCTAGGAATACAACATTATTTAAGTAAGTAAATTTCTATAAAAAGATTGGGTAAAATACTTTCTTCATTTTCGAAAGAGGCCATTGTAATTTCAAATCTCTATTTTCACCTAAGACTGCCAAGCCTACTGAACTAATTACAAAATCAGACAATCAGAGTTACCGTATGTTTCAGCAAATAAGGCGAAGCCTCATTTTAGCACCAAAAACTGAATACAAATCATGTTTGATAAGACTTTAGGCCGATAAAATCTGCTAAAATAACCGCAAAGTATAGAGAACATTTGGAAGGAAGGCATGATCACAGACGTTTGAGAAACGTTGTCTTAACCCACCAAGCAATAAAGATAACAACAAAACAAGTAGATACTCACAGAACGCTGAGAGCATACGCTCCCATGATACTTTCGCTTGCACGAACAACAAAACTTCCGTCCAACCCTGCTTTGAAGACAAGTTCTTCTGCTCTTTGTCGACTGAGTCGACCATGATACCATTTCTCTTCAGACATTCTCAGTGTTCGCAAGAATCACATGTTCTGACTACTTTTACAAATAAAACTACTGTTAATGCAGTAATGAAACTATTTACGAATGAAAGTGAACATTTCAATATATAGTTCAGGACAATTGAAAATTCATGTCGGTTTACGGTTGATATTGGAGCTGAGCATCGGTTTGAATCAATAAGTTATTCGAATTGTTCCAGGCAAAATTTTGAATCGTCACCATTTTGCTTTTTGTCTGCCAAAGATCATAGTAAATTCGTTAATTTGTCTGCCAAAGATCATAGTAAATTCTTTAATTTCTTAAAATGCAAATTTGACATATGACCATTTTCTTTTTAGCGTTTATAATAATTTATATCTCTGGGGGCCCAACACAATAAAAAGTCACATACAATTGCGTAGCTTTCAAGTATTCGAGATTCGATTCGGAAAAAAAAAGTAATTCAATCCTGAAATACAGTACAGCACACTATCCAAATTCCAGGAATTTCCCTCCATTTGGCTGAATAAAATAAACACTCTGTGTCTCACAAACGAGAGGCGTCTGGGACCCCGTCAGATGCTTTATATCGCGTCATGCTTGTCGTAATAATAATCGAAATTAATCGCGGCCGTCACATGACCAAAATTGCCGTTTCTTGCTAAAAACTCTCGAATGCTACGGTAATTTTTTTTTCTTCGGTAAATCGGATTACTTTTTCTCAAGGAATTCAAAGAAGACGTTACTAGATTGCGCTTTTTTGTAGTATTTGGCGCAACTCCATCATACTGTATTATTACCGATATTGAGGGATAACAATGTCCAGACGTCTAGTGTCTGATCATTTGCAAAATGGGTTTCTCTGAAACGGGACAATGTCACCCGATTTGTATAGTGTGCCGTACTGAAATACTCATGTAACTAAAAATGCCCAGCCCTAGTTGTTATCTGATTCATTGAGGCACACTTCTAAGGCAAAATTCTCCAATTCCAAGACTGTTCCAAAATATTGATGAAAAAACAAAAACTAGGCATGTTTAAAACAAGGAGTGATGCCAGACGCAGTATCAACTGATTGGGCAATTTAGCATAAGGTGACTCCAACTATAATCCAGATAATCAGCTTGACAATATCTTCCGAGGGCTAATTTTATTTTTGTTTGTATATTTTTCTTTTTATTAAGTAATAGGGTGGTGTAGCCAGTCTGCGGACCATTTCATTCAAACCGCTACGTTTGGAATATGAAACCGTATGGAATTCGCAAGCTTATTTAGAGAGACGATGGGTAGTTGGCGACATGAAAAAATGATCCGCTTTCTTTCTTCGGTCAGGTTTTCGGGCGGAACTATTTTGTTTTTGGCCGAAGTTCAGTGTCATTTCGCAGAGCTACGGGGGATAATTGGAAGATAACGCATGAGAAATATCGTCGCGGTTCGTTAATTTATTCGGCATTAATTTAATCGATAAAGTTGATGGCCGCAAATAGGTCGTGGCCGCAAAGTGGCTAAGCCACCCTATTTTTTTAATGCTCCTCTTTTTTTATCTCTTCTAATTTTATTTTGATGATTGTATGTACAGATGTATGTGTTTTTTTTAACTTAATACTCCTGGGTTAGCGAACACGTACCACTTCTTCTGACAACACATTTCAATCTAAAATCTGTAAATTCTGACATTTCAAATATTACTTACAACTTAGGGTTTTGTTCGCTTTCCTGATTCTGTAATCAGTTCAGCAGTTTTAGTTATTTAGTTTTTATCATTTATTTTGTCCTCTTTCATGCTGATTATGGAGTCAAAATAATAAACTTATACCGGTCAATCATTCCACCTAATGCAGTAATGTCAGAATGTTTCAGTCCACTCCTTAACTCAGTCCCGTACGGTAACTCCAGAACAGTCTAAAACGTATGTGGGTCTGGCCAGAATTTCTAGAATAACGGTACAATTCAAATTTTCAACTATCTGCCAAAATCAATCGTCTGATCGTGAAAATATCAAAAAGTTCACCTAATAATATAAAAAATTCACCTAATAAATCAAAACATAGCGACAGTTCTCGGTAAATCCAACCCTGGTTCTATTTCCTTGTTTCGTTCAAATTATTACGCTTGGATGATTTATGACGTCATATTAGTGGAGGGAGTCTGCTCTTTTTGACATCTCGGCGTTGGTGCATTGGATAGGAAGGATAGGATTTACATTATTATCCCAGGGGAGAGAAAAGTCGATAAGACGGCTTATCCATATGGCGAACCACGGCCTCTCGTCCGGTTACCATTCCAAGTCGGGTATGGGATTAGTTATATTGTTTGCTTTCGGAAGCCGTAACCGACCAGCGGTTACGTGAGCCACCCAACGACGGCGCACATAACCATCCTGCATGGGATTCGAACCTGCGAACACCCACACAGAGTAATTGATCTAACGCTTAGCACGTTGAGCCACACCGCCGCGCCTGAGTGTTGGAGGAGAACGTTCGCCATATAAATTCTGATTTACTCTGTGTTCGCATTTGTATTTCTCATACGTTTTGTAATATCCGGTTTTATTGGTTTTTTTAGGGTTTCTCGACCTTTCTCTCTATCTAACTAACACCTGTGGCTGTGAGATTTCAATGCACCGCCGCGCCTGAGTGTTGGGGGAGAAGAACGTTCGCCATATAAATTCTGATTTACCTGTGTTCGCGATTTCTCATACTCATATTTTGTAATATCCGGTTTTATCTGAATTTTATTGGGGGTTTTTAGGGTTATTAGGGTTGGTTTCTCTCTAACCTGTGGCTGTGAGATTTCAATGCGGGTCCGTCCGCCCGGTGCCTTCCTTTCTCTCGACTCCTCTCACTCTCACACTCTCGCTCTACGTGCTCACGGTTTTCTTTTTGGCTTCCTCTCTCTCTCTCCTCTGTGGCTCTTTTCTTTCCGTACTCACGCTTTCCCTTCGAAACCTTCTTTCTTCTCTCTCTGTGGCTCTTTCCTCCTCAGCTCGGTTTACTTACTTCCTGGTTTTTCTGGCTGGATAATCACGGTTTTCTTCTCTCTCTGTGGCTCTTTCCTCCTCAGCTCGGTTTACTTACTTACTTCCTGGTTTTTCTGGCTGGATAATCACGGTTGTAGATTTTTTCTTTCTTTTTGCTAGTTCTTCTAGATCGTGGATCCCGCCCGGTCTGTGTAACCAACCTCTCAACATATTGCGTGTTGTGACTGTGCCTTCGACCCGAACTCTTTCTCACTAACCTCGGTTTCTGGCTAACCTTCGGTTTGGTCACGTTTACTTTGTGTGTCTGTTTACTTTGTACTGTTTATTTATGTACGTTTACTTTGTGTGTGGCTCGCTCTGTTTTTTCTCTTTCCTCTAACCTCGGCTACTGAGATCTCTTTCTCTCGGTTACTTTCTGGCTGGCCCTCCTACCCTGTTGTTTTCTCGATTTCCCTCGGTTTGGTCTGGCCCGACTCTTTCGTAATCACGTTTACTTTGTGTGTGGGTGGCTTGCCTTTTTCACTCACTCGCTCGCTCTGTCTGTGGCTTTCTTTCCTCTAACCTCGGTTACTGAGATCTCTTTCCTCGGTTACTTTCTGGCTGGCCCTCCAACCCTATTTGCTCTTCTCGCGACCGGCCCAGTCTGTCAGAGTCTTTTTTCTCTTTACTAACCTCGGGTTCTGGCTAACCTTCAGTTTGGTATCTGGCCGACTCTTTCGTAGTGCCTTTCACTCACTCGCTCTGTCTGTGGCTTTCTTTCTCTCTTTCCTTTAAGCTCGGTTACTGAGATCACTTTCCTAACCTCGGTCACTTTCTGGCTGGCCCTTATACCCTGTTTCTCTTCTCTCGACCGGCCCAGTCTGTCCGGGCCTTTCCTTTCTACCTGTATCTTTCTTGCTGTCTCTGTCCGTGCCTCCCCTCTCACGACCTGACGTCGGGTCTGTCTGCGCCATCCGAAATCCCGGCCTGTCCTTTTCTGGCTGGCTCTGTCTGTCTCCCCTTTTCTTGACCTCTGTACCTCCCTTTTCTTGATTGCTTTCCGTCTGTTTCTGCCTGCCTTCATTTCCCTGCTGGCCTGCTCTCTGACTGACTCTGTCCGTGCCTTCTCTTCTCTTGACCTGTGAATTTCCTAACGGTTGCTCTCTAACTCGCTTTATACACCCCACACTCTGTGGGGTTCGAACCCAACCTTGCATATGGCCTCATGCTTACCTTGCCTACACGCTTCCTCTGCGCCACCGATATTGGTGAGCACCATCGGACTAAAATCTTACTTGATTAAAAATAACGTCACTCTTGACTGCACTTACGCCCTTGACGAAGCCAATAAAAAAGCGAGGTGTTGTGTCGATTCGATTGCGCAGGCGATGCCGCACCGGAAAGATTCCGCCATTCCCCCGAAAATAGTTGTTCCTCACATACAGGTAGCTGTCTGTACGTGTTATTGTTTTGAGTGATTATAAGCATAAAAAGGTCATTCAAAAACACGTATGAATTAAATTGGTAAATTCTTCGCAGTTGTGGTTTATGTAGCTACAGTCGATTACGGCCTCTTCCAGCATCATTTAGACTGGTTAGCTGGTTTTCGCTATTCTTATATAGGCCTAAGCCCTAAGTTCTAGCAGCGGCGCTCCTAAAGTGTGTGTACCAATATGAAGGTAACTAATTTTGTTCGTCTATTTTACATCAAGTTGTAAGGGGACTGAAACCTATGGGTAGGGGGTATATTCAGTGGTGGGGTTCAGCCGGTTCTATATAACCGTCTCACGGAATTTTTTCAGATCAGCGAACCGGTTAGCATTACTGGTTACTCTCAATGATTTTTTTTTACAGAATCGGGTGAAAAATATGACTTTTGTGATGGAATTTGAATCCCATCACTGGGTATATTCAACTTGGCTAACACAAACAGTCCCCGAACTCGTAATAGAACTAAAATAGGGAAAATCGGAAATAATGATGCTCTAACCTGGTACACACACTACGAGAGTACCCTAGCAGCGGCACGATAGGCGTGGTTTGCAATACAGCGTGGTATGTTTCCTCTTCACGTGATTAATCCGATCACATCGACATTATTTCCTGAATATTCAGATCAACCACTAGTTGCTGCTCGAGAGCATATCTG